AAACTTCCTCAGTGGAGGAAACAATGTGTTCATTTACATTCTGCCAGGAGCTGCCGTCTCCTAGACAGGGAAGGGTTTGTGGGCCCTGCTTTCGCTCTCGGTAGCCCTCACTGAATGCTCACCTCTCGCTCCACCGGAGTCTCTCATGTCAGATCTCCACGTGGCAACACCCAGCAGATGCTTCTCTAGCTTCACTTTGTCTCCCAGTAGAGTTTTGAAGCAGTGGCCTATGTGACTCCCTGGAGTCCTCTTTCTCTTCATCTTCACTCGCCTCTTCACCCAGGCTCCTTTGCTCGCTTCCCTCTACCTGTCTGCCCTCTGTCAGGTGCTGCAGGGTCCTCGCTGGGCCCTTTTCTCCATCTGCCTTGCCCTGACTGAGCTCACCTCAGCCATGGCTGATGACTTCCCAATATAGATGTTCAGCCCCTACTGAGCTCCTGACTCATTTCCTCGTCTGCCTCCTTGATATTTCCATGGCGATGTCTAATAGGCATTGTCACACATGGATCGGAGTAAACAGAGCACTCAGGCCATTTCTCAATCCACCCCCTTCCACTCTCTATCTCATGGGACAGCATCACCATCCCCCAGTTGCTCAGGCTCTGAATCCTAGGTCCACAGTCCACCTGTGATTCCCCCCTTCCCCTCACACACCATGTCCTATCTGTCAGGAGGCCCTGTCAGTTGCACCCCAGAATATAACCTGACTCCATCAACCCTGACCCGCCCCCTCCAAACCACTCCCTGTCCCCTTGGCCTGCTCCAAGAGCTACCCTTTCCATTCTCTGTGCCCCACTCTCCGCTGACTGGACTGGTCCAGCCACAGGAAGCTCTTTTAAACCATGTGCCTCCCAGGGTCAAGCCCTTCCGTGCTTCATGTTGCTCTTGGAGGGAACCCTGACTCCTTCCCATGGACTGTGAGCTCCTGGGTGACCTGGCCTCTGCCGCGCCCTCCAGACTCATCTCTTGTCCTTCCCCTGGACACTTCCACTCCCTCTGCCTGCTGCTCTTCCCCACTTGTTCCCTGGCTGGTCCCTCTCCCTCACCTCATCTCACAGAGGCTTTCCTGACTCTTCTGCCCCAGGGAGAGTGCGGGGCTGTGTTTTGAGGCCCGAGCCCCAGACCGTGAGAACAGGGAGACTGCCCACATCAGTCTAATGAGGAACCCAGAATTCAGACCAGTGTGTTTGTCTTTTAAATCCTGACCAAACCTGCACTGTTGCCGGCAACTTGAGGGTCTTTTCCAAGCCCCTGGGAACTTCTGAATGCATGTTACAGAGCTGGTGAGGGGTGGGGAGAGGAAGCCCGTTCTGCCTGGCTCAGCCAGCCTGGACTGCTGTTCTCAGGGTGGGTAGAATGCCACATATGCATCGCCCCTTATGAGAGAAGTAGTTCTCATTGCTCAGATGCGGACATTGAGGCCTAGTGAAGTTAGGGGACTTGCCCCAAGCCATTCAGCCAGTGAGGGGTACAATCTGAATTTGAACCCAGGTCTGTCTCAGAGTTCTCTGAAAGATATGAGAAGGAGAATTTGTAAAACCAGGGATTTCTACACCTGTCAGGTGTTAAGAAAGTAATAGTTGATATTTTTAAAAGTTAATGCAAATTGTACACTTGCCCAAATGGGGACACCCTGAACTTTAATAGTTGCTTTCGGCTGGCATTACTGTCATCCCAGCACAGTAATATTAGTCATTTCGCACCATAAGGGTCTCTCTCTGATTGGGAATAATACAAAGAAAGCTTTGGGGTTTATACGGGATGAGAGGGATGGTAAGAGATTAGGATCTTTCTCCCTACAGGAATCCACATAAGACGTTTCCCATCTCATTCAACATTCCACATTACTCCCCTTAACACGGTCACTCGGGTGTAAATATCATCTTCCTCATCCGGGTGGCACAGGCAACCCACTGCCTTAGGACCAAGCTGGGCACACAATATCTTGTTACAAAAGCCCCTTGGTTAGAGGAGTATCAGCAGGCACTGTTCTGCGTCTGAGGGCACCTAACTCCGTGTTAGCCTCCAGGGTATTATGATGGACATTTTGTTACTGAACCCCAACAGTAGGGGGTCCTACTGCTAGCTGCCTACCAGGCAAATCTCCAAAGATGGAGTTCAGTAGAAAAAAAGGAATCTTTTATTTAATGGCAAGTGTCTGCCTAAAATATCTTGGTAACAAAAGTAAAGGGAAAGAAAAAGAGCATGACATCAAAAATAGCATTTTTAAGTATTTGTCATTACAACTACTATATAGGTTCAAGAACTGAAAATAATACAAGAACAAAAACCTGTTCAGAGTGCTGATATGATCACCAAGGTCTTTGGAAACAATGGCAAGTTTCTGCCTCAAAGCCTGTTCCCTCTAAGACACCCAAAGAAAAATTGCCCTGGCTGGTATCAGTGGACTGAGCGCCATCCTGCGAACCAAAAGATCGCCGGTTCAATTCCCAGTCAGGGCACATGCCTGGATTGCAGGCCCAGTCACCACCCGATAGGAGGTGTGCGAGAGGCAACTGATTGATGTGTCTCTTTGGGTTGCGGCCCTTCAGGGCCATACAGGTTCATGGGATTGGTGCATACAGAAGAATATTCACAGAGCCGTTGGGATGTCTGACATGCCCTTATTCAAGGGTGGATGGTCCATGCACACCACAAGCTGTGTGTCACACTGTATGTCACACTGTCCCCTCTGCGTGGCACCCAGTGTGGGCCCTTGCATCCCCCCTGCATGTCTATGTCTGCTCCCCCCATGGGAAGCCCATACTTCATTACTAAAACAAAACTGGCAGGGTGCCAACAGACCTTATGCAGCAGCGCTTCATACCACTCACACGAGCCCACTCAAGGCTACGGGAATAGTTTATTGGACCCAGACCCAAGGCACTGAGAACACTACTTTATCAGACCCCTTCAAGGTTGTGAGAAACTGCTTCCCGTAGTTACCCAGACACCTGGGTGAGGAAGCCAGACTGCGTACATTTACCCTACACTTTTGCACCTAGATGTTTCTCTCTCTCTTTCTCCCTCCCTTCCCCATCTCTAAAAATAAATAAAATATAATCTTAAGAAAAGAAAAATCACTGTGTCACCTTCTACCAGCTCAGTTCAAGGTTGTACCAGGAACCTCTTTTCCCACCCAAAAGTATCATTAACGCAGGTGGCTTAGCTGGTCTCCGTTCGCTGTCCAGCTTCAGGCATCTTTTGGAGTCTGTGTCCCAGGCCTCGGCTCACAGGCCTGCACTGGCCACTGCTAGAGGAGAGGAAAGAATCAACTGCCTTTCTGCTTTCTGGGGCGCTCTGTTTCAAAAGTCCTCTCCCAGAATCCCTTGCGTGCTGAGAGCCAGTGGGAGTGTCCAGCCTTCCAACCAGTGTGGGTCAGTGTCAGCCACGTTTGCCTTTGCCCCTCTTCCAGCAGCCACACTGAGCAAGGGGGCAAGGTCTCCAGTCACACGTGTGCAGCTCGAACCCCTCCCCCATTTCTAGGGTGGGTGTGCCATCCTGCCCCCCACTACAATTTGTCTTTGTTTTCCTGCCCCATATCCAACCCCCACTCCTTCACTGTGTTTAGAAAATGCTCCACTTCCTGTGGAGGTTGGAAGGCTGGGCCGTGGACATCCTAGGCTTCGGCTCCGCTAGCCAGATGCATGTGGGAGCTGGTCGTGCAGAAAAGCCCGGGGACTGGAGAGCTCATCCTGTGGCAGTGACAGCAGCTGCATCTAGTTTCCAAGGACAGTGGCAGTGGCCTCAGGGCCTCCAGCTCCAGTGGCCATTATCCAGGTGTTGGTGCAGCCTGGGCATCCTGTGGCCCGAGGTGTGAGTTGGGCTCTGGTCTTGCTCATTTCCCAATCCTGGTCCTTTGGCTTTTCTGGGGATCTTTTGACATGCCAGTGGCCTTTGAGTAAATTCAATTTAAATCAGCCAAAACATACTTCTATTCTTTTTTCTTTTTTTTAAATTTTTTTTTACAAGTCATTCAAAGTCTTTTATTACATTATGTTCTGCCATTTCTTTAATATATAGTCTTTGTTTTATTTTTTTCCATTACTATTTAGTCCGTTTATATGCCCCACCCCCAGCAGTCACCCAGTTAGACTTGTATGGAGTTGTTGCTGTGTATTATTCATGGGTTTTATTCATCCCTGCGCTGCTGACAGCACTGCTTCACCGCCTGAGCACCCTCCCTGGGCTGCAGGATGGTCAGGAACCCTGGGCTCAGAATCCTAGGTTGGGTGGGTGCAGGACAATAGGCTCAGTCGTCTCCATTCATTGTCTGATCCGTATTCCACTGCTTGCCACCGTGATGTACCCCTAGACAGGGTTTGTGAGGATACAGCCAAGCCTTGCCCCTCGCCCTCAGCTCCTCCAGCAGTGCCCCACACACGCTGGGTGCCCGGGAAGGCTGGCATGGAACCGATGGAGGAGGGCGGAGTTGGTGCCTTCGGGCCCTCTCTTCAGTCCCAGTGAGGCTGCCCTGGGCTATGATCAGGCGTCCGGCGGGAAGCTGGTTAACTGGGTGCCTGGCATCTACAAGTTGTCTGCAGTCAGTAGGGGAGATTGTATGGAAGATTGTGGGTTTACAACGGCAGAGTAAGTAGTTAGAGCTTTGGAAGGGAGACATGTGCCCTGCTTTCCTCTGAGTGGAGGAAATGAAGTTAGTGTCGTCCCAGTCCTTTCATGTCGGGACACACACAGAAAGGGCTTATGTTTGTATGGAACTGAGGGCCTGGCCCAGCTGCAGTCAACCTGAGAGGCACTTTCTCAGCATGCGCATAGCCCGTTCCCAGTACCCCTGCGCCTGCTGCTGGGACCTGCGCTGGAGGTGTCACCCTGGGGTATATCCAGCTCCCCAACCACCCCACCACTCAGAGGGCCTGACCTCTGCTGCTCTTAACCCCTTATAAGTTGCAGATATTTTTCCTAGTTTAGCATTTGCCTTTAACTTTACAGTTTCTTTTTTCTTTCACCCTATTCCTTCTTGGTCATTTTTCTCTCTACAGGAGTTTCTGCGCCTTGACCAGGGGAGTGTGACCCTTCCTTCAAAACCCTCTCTGGACACGCCCTCCTAGCATCTACCAGGAAAGATGCGGCAGCTCAAAGGGAAGCCCAAGAAGGAGACGTCCAAGGACAAGAAGGAGCGGAAGCAGGCCATGCAGGAGGCCCGGCAGCAGATCACCACGGTGGTGCTGCCCACGCTGGCCGTGGTCGTGCTCCTGATTGTGCTGTTTGTGTATGTGGCCACGCGCCCCACGATCACGGAGTGAGCGCCAAAGGAGGGCAAAAGCAGAAGGAAAACGGCTTTTGTTGTCAGAGATTCTTCTGATGCTGAGCTCTAAGCAGGAGCACCTGTCTTCTCTCGTCTTTGACTTGATTAAAATTTTCTGCTTTTCTTGGGAGGGAATAGGGAGCGTTTTATCACTGAATGTGCCATACACTTCATGTGCCTTTCAAACTTCAAAGCTGTGTATGTGTTTCTTTTTCTCTCCTAAAATCGATGTGTAGCTCTGCCTGGTGAGAGGAGGAATCTCTGGGTCATGAACGAGTTGGAATCAGTGCTCACCCCATCCCCATTGTTTTGAACATGAATCTTTTCGTACATGTGTCCACAATTTCCAAAGGGACTGTATTTCTTCTCTGTGCTTAATGTGATTTTAAATATGTCGACTCAAAGTGAAATATTTATTTTTTGAATAAAGGAGATAATAGCCTTAACTACTGGATGTTTATCTTATTTTGCCAGCAGGCAGCCTTACTCTCCAGAAAGCCCTGGGAGGTGCAGTCTGCCCCTCAGGCTCCCTCTCAGGGCTGGGTCCCCCTCCCCGCCAAGCCACGCCTCCCCTCCCCTCCGCCTTTCTCTGCCACCTCACTCCCTGCTGTGGATCACTTCCAAGAAAGTTGTACTTTTTAACTGGATCATTTTAAGACTGAGAGACTCTTGAGAGGGGCAGAAAGGGTGTGTTAATTGGCCTGTCTTAGCAACATAGGAGTTCTAATTGGAATATGACCACAAATGCTTTTTACAACACTTAGCAAACAGCAACAAAGAAGTGGTCCTGGAGGGAAAGGTCAGGGTCCATTCTGCTCCTGCTGAAAGGATGCAAATTATGGGCAGCCCAGCTGAGTTTTTGATGCAAATTGGCCATGCTGGCAGACTTGCCCCATTGTATTCTGAAGACTGTTGTTAGCCCTGTCCTGCTTCCTGATGGAGCAGCCCCTTTTGGAAGTCAGACTCAAGGTGACTGTTCTGAGTGTCTGTTCTGGTGTTGCTGATTAAGGAGAGATTTGTGGGGGAGGGAGGTTGGGGTGGGTGGGGCAAGGTGGAGGGGGGGAAGAGAAGAGCCTTGATTTGCTCACAGCTGGCCAGGCTGATGCTGAGGACTTGGGGGCCTCTTGGAGAGTCTCTCAGGAAGACAAAGCAGCTGTGGAAAGGAAGGACTCCAGCTGGTGCTGGGGGATCCTGGGACTGGCAGGGCCAAGAGGGCTCTGTGGGTCTCTCCACGAGAGCTGGTGTCAGTAGGAGACACCATGGCCCCGGAAAGAGATTTACTAAAATGTTTATCAAATGGCAGAAGGTGCTCGCATAAAGTTCCTCTTAGGTTTCTATTTCCCTCCCTTCATTTGATTCTCGTAGGACCCTCGTGCTTGTCGGTCTCATTCAGGGACATACAGAGGAACAGAACGATACAGCATCCCACACGCACTCCCGGACCAGCCTCAGCAAGCGCAGCACGCGGCCACTGCTGTTCATCTCCGCACCCTCCCACGCCCAGACACTCACGTGCACACCACACTGGGTTATTTTGCAGCCACACGGGAGGTGGGATTTAAACCCAGACAGTCTGGCTTCAGAGTTCGTGCTCTTGATCATTAAGATCTATTACCTCTTAATAGTAATTTCCTCCATTTCTCCCAGTCTATAGAAACCTTTCCCACCCAGGTGTGAGCAGACAGTCCTCACTTGGTAACAGTTGATACAAACAACCTTAGACGCCATCTTTAGACAGGCAGGCTGTGACTTCAGCTTTGCCCACTAGGTTATCTTAACATCTTGCTCAGTCCCTCATCCATTGCTCAGTGGAAGAGGAGCCATACCCTCCTAGTCATCAAGGAACAATACCTGTTCCCTGGGCTTCTTTAGAAAGCATGTAGGTACCCTTGCTTAGGACGTTTCAAGTATGGTGTGAGAAGTGTGTAAGCTCTGGGAATCAGGTGCCGGTGAGCCCTAACTCAGCCACTTTCTAGCCAGGTGACCTCAGTCCGGTTCCAGACCCTGAGCAGCACATGCCCCGCATCCATCAAGTCAGGTTCATTTTCCTCTGTAGAGGATGTTGGGAGGATGAATTGAAATAGGCACAGTGCGTGACATCATGCCTCAGTAAATGACCATTCCCTTCCTGTCAATGTGTGCACCTCAACGTGCTTACTGCAGGCCCGCCTCCCAGGGCTCCACTTGCCGCCTGCCACGGTGTGTCGCACCTCTGGGTCTTACTTTCACCCACTGTTTTTCTCTTTGCTGTCCAGGGGGCCTCGTGGACTTGAACTGGGTTTTCAGGAGAAAGCAGTTACTAAGATGGGCTTGGTGAAAGCAGGCTGCAAGTGGATTTTTAAAAGTGAATACACCTTGGACGTGAGCCACCTCCTGGCGGGGACGAAATGCCAATTTACTGTGCACTTGCTGGGTGGAGTTTAACAATTCTCAAGGTAAATAGTATTCCCATGTGGGTGCCCTGGGAAATTTTTTTTGACATCAGCTTCCAAAGTACTCCCCTTTATTCACTGGCTTCAAGGCAAAAGTGAATAATTAGCAGTTTTGCAGAAAGTCATGCTGGCCTTCTGCACTAGGATATGGGGCTCTCAGCTTTCAGAGTCCTCATTACCGAGCCTAACAGTTCTTGAAGAGCAAATTCCAAGAGGCCTCAGGTTAGAAACAGGAATAGAAACCATTGTCATTCATTGAAAAGCTATCACTTGATGTGTTTTGAAAAAAATCACTATACCAAGATGTGTCTGTATCTGCTGGTTCTGAAGCCACCAGCCCAATTCCTTTCCTGTCAGTTCAGCGACAGAGCAGCTCACACCCATCCTTCCTTCCTGTATCCTCTGCAAGAAAGAAAACCTGCAGCCATACTCACCTGGAAAGATGGTAACACCTGCCATAATTGCCCTTCCCGTTTCCCCCAGAGGATCTCACATCATTATTTACCCACTAGAGGTAGAAAAAGAAGGAAATCTCTTGAAATTGTGGCTTTTAGATGTTTTTGTGGAAGTCTGCTATCATATGTGTATATGAATTGTATGTGTGTTTGTGTTTATCCACCTTGTATAGCTCTGTGTTGAAAATACCCCCTGTGGTCTGCCACCCGAAGATGTCTGCCTTACTTTGAATGCAGTTTATTTTCCAGGAACCCTGTCTAATTCTGTTCTCTACAATATTTACCACCAACTGCATAAGCATTAAAAATGAGACACAGAATCTTTGGATCAGGGAAGTATGAGTAGCGTCCCCTCAGTCCTTCCAGAACATACGCACTAGACCTGGATAAGGGTTTACACACTCTCTGGATTCCTGTCCTGCCCTCCCCCATGCTTCAAAGATCAGGAAGAGCAGTTGTGTGCATAGGTTTTGCCTCACCCACTCTATCAGTCCTAATTTTTTCTGATGGGTTTTTTTGCACTTCAGTGGCCAGTCTGTCCTCCTTTATTTTCTCATTATTCTACAAGCTTGTGTCTCTGACTTCAGTGTATTTTAGTTGGGTCATCTGTATTATCTCCCCTCCTGCCAGTTCTGTGGAAAGGAGCCAGTCTTTTCAAAAAGCTTTTAATCTCTTGAGCTGTTGGGTAATAACTTAAGGAACGGAGACCAGAGTGAGCATTTGGATGCTCAGTAATGCCGTGGTTAAGCATTTCTCTCCTTCCTTTATTGTTCACTTCCCTATGGTCACATGAAGGTTGTCTTTGAACCCTCCTAGGACTGAAACTTCTCCAGCCTGGGACTATAGCTTTTCCATTTGATACAAGGCACAGCTGGCCACACACTAATCACTTAACAGAAAGCCTGTTAAGCCTTTTGGGATTAAGCCTAACTTCCAAGGCATAACTCATTTGGATTAGAATAAATTAAAGCCCATTACGAACTTCTTTAGCAAGCCTCTCCACCTTGAAATACCGCTCCCTCCAGTTGCATTACTGGTTCAGTGGAAGGTCTGCCCATCTATTTCAGTCCAGATTCCCCAGAGACATTGAAATTCCCTGCCTCACATGGTCCTCAGGGGTTGGGTTTTAAAAGATGTAGCAATATCTATCTACAAAAGATATATTTAAAGTAAAAGTGTGTACTAAATATTGAAAATGTAAGAGATTAAAAAAGACATGTCACACAAATTGAATAAAAGCCATAGCAGTAATTTTAACATTAGCAAAACAATTATAAGATGAACATGCCATCAGGGGCAAAGGATGGCATATACTAGTAACATAATAATGATATTATGATCATGTATAGTATGTTGCTAACAATATAGCCTCAAAATATACAAAACAAGTGACTATGAACAGAGTAGAAATAGATCAACAGTTTTAGTTGGAGATTTTAAGACATACCTTTCATAGATGGATAGATCAAATAGCCAAGAAGAGCAAAGATGTAGAAGACTTGAGTGATAAAATTAATTGATCTAAAAGATAAAAATAGGCCTTTTTACTCAACAGAGAATAAACATTTTTTTTTAGGAATACACAAGGAACATTAATAAAAATTGGCTTACAATTTTTTTTTGATTTAATGAAAAATATAAACCCACAGATTCCAGAAGTTCAACAACTCCAAGCAAGATAAATGAAGCTGTGGCCAGCGTGGCTCAGTTGGTTGGGTGCTGTCCCTTAAACCAAAATGTTGCAAGTTCAATTCCTGGTCAGGACACATGCATGGGTAGTGGGTTTGGGCCCCAGTCAGGGCATGTGTGAGAGGCAGCTGATTGATGTTTCTCTCCTTCCCTTTTTCCCTCACTTCTCCTCTCTGTGGAGTCATTAAAAGAAAATAAAAATTTTAAAGAGATAAATGGAAAACCTACAGCAAAAGAATTTGATAGAAGATGTTGGTGATCTGTGGAAATTATGGTTTCAAAATGCTTTAAAGAAGTTGGAAGCAGAGGAGGTGAGAGATGACATAAGTGTTCTCACTTCTTATTCTTCTATTAGGAGTAAAAAAATATATTTTTTAAAAGTATTATTTATTTATTTTTAGACAGAGGGAGAAAGAGAAACATCAATGTGTGGTTGCCTCTCGTGTGTCTCCTAGTGGGGGCCTGGCCTGCAACGCAGGCATGTGCCCTGATTGGGAATTGAACCAGTGACCCTTTGGTTTACAGGTGCTCAATCCACTGAGCCACACTTGCCAGGGCAGGAGTGAAAATTATTTAAAGTTGCTATTTTGCTTTATAAGGGCAAGTACTGAAAAGAATAAACAAAAATAATATAATCAGCTAATTTAGTGAAGGGGAGTATGAAGAAGTAAAAGCATACTATTATTTTGTTATTACTTAAATATGGTGTCTGTAGATAGAAGCTAAAGTACCATATTTAAAGAAAAAGACTCAAACTGGATTATAAAAGAAAACCCAAATATACACCATATAAAAGAGATACATCTTAAAGTGATTCCAAACAGCTGAAAGAAAAAGGATGGACAAAAGTATATCAGTGA